TATAAATATTAGATAAGGATGGAACACAATATTAGAAACGATGAAAAAGGATGTTACCGTTGATTTCTTTAAGAAGTTTAATGATCATCATAAATCAGCAGTGCTGAAAGTTTTTAACAGAGTAAACATGACATGAAATTGACGTTGGTTTTATTCAATGGTTGAGGAATATCTCACATTGGGCTTACTATTGCATATATTATTGAGATATGTTTAAAGTGATCTACTTACTGTGCAGAATTTATGGTGAGTGAAAAAAAGAATGATGACATGGTGTCTACGATCTTGCGTTGTTTTATGGATGTGGCCGGAAATTTTTTTCCCACATCTTAATATCTAAATTGTGGGTGGTTTCTGCGTGTATTAATATGTTTATAATTATGAGAAATTCTAATTTAATTAGAATGGAAGGAGATTATATGATAAGAATCTAATTTAATTAGAATTATTATAAAGCATGAACATATTTTTCATATGATTGAAATATTTTAAAGTGTGGAGGTGTCCAACAAAATTATTTTGCGTTACTCTAAAAATTGTGTTGTGCTAGATTGTCAGCGTCATTGTATAAATGCCACATGTCTTTGTATTCTGATTTGGAGAGAAAACATTAGCTAAGAGAAGGCTGCTATTTGCATGAGGGTAAAGTTTTTTAATTATCAAGAAATTATGTGGCTTGAAATGAGCATTATGGTGGTAGATAAATGAATTTTTAAATAGGTGCATAACCTATTTAATTATTTTGGTATAAATATACATTATTATGAATAATGATTTATTTATATGTGTTATGATCCCATAAGATGAATAATTTTTAAAATCATGGAATTTGTGACTAGTGGATCCCCACTATGTAAAATACATGGATATTTATTGAGTTATAAATTTGCATGAGAAAACTTATTATGATTATCCACTCTTAATAGTGATGAAATCAAATATGATAGGATTATAGTGGAGTCCAAACTCATTAATCTAAAACTGGATTGGAAGTTAAGGGCTTATTTAACAACTTGACCTGGGAATAGTTTCTTTTCTTCAAAACAAAAAAATAAAAAAATGTTTGATAATATATTTTTAAAAAGTGTTTTGGAAAAAAAATAAAATATTATTTTAAAGAATAAAAAAACAAAAAACATTGGTAGCTTTGACAGAAAAGGTCATGACCTCATTGGAGACAACACAAGTGACTAGAGGGGCGTGGCCAACCAAGGATACTTGAAGGTGAGAAACTTGAGGAAGGGATTGAAGCAAGTAGTGCTAGTGGACTTGTGGAGAGAAGGGATGTGCTGGGAAGCTTCGGCTTCGAGGGAGGGAGGCCGTTGGGGATGGCCTTGCAGTTGAAGTATAGGTCGTTGACGTTGCACACCGGTTCAAGAAATCATAGAAGGAGAGGGAGGGAGGGAGGGAGAGTAAAAACTATAAAACAAATAATTTTGGGGCCCATTAACACTAATAAACAGAAAAGAAAATGATAAGGTAAAAGGAATAGAAATTTTTAAAGTTGAGAGATAGAATTAGATCCAAGTTAAGGTTAGGGTCTTTAATGACCTTTCATGTATAGTTGAGAAATAAAAATAATCTTTAAACATATAATTAAAAATATAACATTATCATATGTTATATATCATAGTTCTCTTTCCCACCAAGTTGGACTTGACTCTAAAACGTTGAATTGAATCAAAGAGAAAATTTTAATAAATAAGTATAAATGGCAAGGATGTTACCTTGGAGATTTTTTTATTAAAAAAAATTTAAAGTATATATTTAATCCTTTAACTTTACACAAAGTTTTGTTTTGATCTTTTAATTTTATAAAGTGTATATTTAGTCATTTAACTCTAATACTATTAATTTCAATACAAAATTTTTTATTGAACATTTAAATATTGATGAAATATTTTTAAATGTTTACTTATTAGGTTTAATTTTTTTATTTTAAAATAGAAATAATTGGTACTAAATGTAATCATTTGAAATTAACCGTGTTAGGATTAAATGATTAAAAATATACTACATAAACTTAAGGGGTAAAATTAAAATTTTATAAAAAATTAAAGGATAAAAAATATATATGTAACCATTTAAAAAAAAAGTAGATATTGTCAATATTTTGCATCTATCAAGTATTTGAGGTGGGAGAAAAGTCCTCATCGGTTACTTTACTAGTTAAAGAACATTATTAACACGTTATTGACTTTTCTTACATAAATATATTAAACTGAATCATTTCATAAATTCAAAGTCTGTGTGTGTCCACGTCCTTCGTTGTTCAGCGATGATGAGGGACGTAGCCATGTTGCCCCCACAACCAAAAGGAAAAATTAGCTCGAATGACCCTAATGATTTTAGTTGCCCCAAAAAAAAAATTCATTTTGCCCCTCACTTTAAAATATTTTCACTTGTCCACATATAAAAATTTACTTAAACCCATTATAAAAATTATTATCCCAATTTTTTATGCTTTATAACCTTAAATAGTAATAGTTTTAAAATGAAAAAGAAATAATCTAGAAAAAATGTATATGAAAAAAATCTCATCACAAAAAATTGTCTTCCATACAAAAAAAGTATATAGATTTTATTTTATGAACATTTAAAAAATTGGTTTTCTAATATATATGAAAAATTGTTTATGTAAAGAGAGTCATTTATGTCATTATGATGATATGTTTCATGAGTTGTTTTTTTGTAACTTGTACCCTTAAAATAATTTAATATAAATTTGAAAAAAATATAAAAATATTGATATTTATATCATGTATAAATTACATTCCATGAATTTATTTTTTTGGGTCCATCACTGTAATCACGGAATGACTTTTCACAGAATAAAACATACCCTAGTTGCTTATTAATGGCTTGTTAGTAACTTTATTCCAAATTATAAAGTACTTTTGAGATAGATTCAGTATCTCAAAATATAATACACTTTGATAAAAATAAAATTTTATTAATAATACTTTTTAATAATATCTTTTCCATTATATTTTCTCTCTTTAATATTCTTTAATTTCATAAATGAGTATTAAATAAAGTCATTTTTGAAAACTTATATTTTTTTGATAAAATATATTTGCAAAGTATATTTAATGAGTTTTATTAATATGTGTAATTTTATTTAAAAATATTTTATAATTTGAGATGAAAAGAGTGACACTAATGAAATTGGTGAAACAGACTGAAGTCTATTTTTCCAATATGTGTCCGTGAAAAGTTCAAATAGAAAATGACGGTATGATACATGGAGCTTCTTCTTAGTATTCAATTATCCAGTTAGTGTAGGCTTATTCTGGAATGGGTGAAAATAACATTAAACTTAATCTTGATATCAAATATCAATATAATAACCAGAACATCATCTTTGCTCCTCAAATTAAAATAAAAATTCTGAATTTAATTTTAGATTCGTAACATTTTCTCTTAACAAGGTTGATTCTGTTATTAATTAAAATAGATTTTATAAAATTAATTTATAAGCATGATTTTTGGCAAAATTGATTTAATCAAGATATGATTTTGGATAAAATTTTAAAAATAATAATTGAAAATCTAAAATAAAAAGTAGATAGTAGCTTATGGAATAATCATGATTTTAGGTTTCCAATTGATTTTAACATGCATATGAATGTTTAGATTTTTTTTAAAAAATCATAATTTTAAGTTTATAATTGATTTTGACACGTAATAAAGACATTTAATTTTTTTCAAAAGAATTATGATTTTACCTGATTTTTAATTCTATTTTCAAACTCAAAATCAATCTTGAAAATATGATCGACCACCATGGTTTAGATGGATGCTTCCTTAAGACCTTTTGGTGGTATACTACTGCTTATTGCTTTGGATGTGATCTAAACGAACGATATTACATTTAATTTTGAAAATGAACAATATTTTTAAAACAATAAATCTATCTAGAAAAGAGTTTAATCTTTTGATATATTTTAATATTTTTTTAACATTTTTAAGACTTTTAATTTTGAAAATGAATCAAGACAAAAACTTTATATTTTTTGGATTAATCAAATAAAAAGCTAAAAGTAATTATATAATCCAAAAAGTATTCAAATTAAATCAACTCTAATTAAAAGAAATAGATTGATCTATTATGTATAGAATATATTTAATATGAAAAGAATTTTCTGCTGAATATGTGATATGAATAATATTTTTATCAACATATTTTTTCCAAATAATTACATATATTTAAACCATGGTAATGAGAAGAATACAAGTGATTTTAGGGGATTTTTCTTTTGGGATTAGCAAAGTGAAAACATACAAATATCATCAATCACAGAAGCAAGCGAATGAAAAAACATAATAGGAAGAGCTTCTTTGGCTAATATATCATGATTGTGGAATTCCATTTTCGTCCAAAAGCTAGACAGACAACAATAACCTTTCTTTTTTTAATTACATCCAAGTATCCTTTAATTGAAGATAATTATATTTAAAGGACGATTGAGCATTAAATATGGACACTTAATCTAAAGGAAATTTGAATCTTGGTTCACCATATTATCAGGGGCTAATCCCTTCTGCTAAACCCAACCTCTATTAGTAGACACCAATGACCTTATTCATGGACTTTTAGGTGAAAAAATGGAAAATATTTAATACTATTTGTCATATATAATTATATATCATGTGTAATATATAAATTTAAGTTTATCTAATATTTTTCGCCAAATGCAAAACGTATAATTTACAAAATGTTGGATAATGTCTAAATATAACTTGCTAGGCTTTCTTACATTATATGAAATTTGACAAATGTGATTCCCTCTGTTCGATGCTTGCAAATACAGTTTGTGATAATTCCTCGTCAATATCAATATTAAATATATAAAAGTTATTGTAAGCCCACTGCCCAACCTATATTATTTTAACTTTTTTTCTTTTTTAAAAAAAAATTAAAAACTTAATTATCAAATGCGTGAATGTTAAGATAGAGTAGATAAATTATATTTAATCCGCTGATTAAAAATATATATTTAATCCACAGTCCACAGTATATGTGCCTCTTTGTGTCTGAAGAGCTTAAGCAAGGCTTCTGTTTGCAAAGCATAGACCTGGAGTGAATCAAAAATTCTTGGTCAGGATAAGGCGCAAGATGCTGGCAGACCCATCACCCATGGCTCAGGTATGAAAATTCTATTGAGACCAATGGTACTAACCTGAGGGCTTGAATCAGCACCTAATGCCACCATGGCAGATTGTGTTTTCTTCAGTATAGTATCCCACTCATTGAGATTGAGCTTGGAAAGCGAGCACAGTATCAGAATATGGGGTTGTTCCATTAATAAAGAGTCGTCCAATTAAATTAAGGGAAAATTGATCTCTCCTTTAAGTAGACGGGTTTGATTGTAGTTTAGATCCAAAAGAGTCATAAAACAATGTACCCAAATCTACAGGAATAAAAGATAAAGCGAGAAAAGAGTAGAAATATCGCAACAAGATTACTACCTACCCTAACTGAGGATTTAGAAACCAAATATGTAGATAGGCATCAAAATCCCCAAATCCATCAAACAATTAAGTATAGAGCACGGAAGAGGGATAGGAAATTACTCCCGCTCCAAATAAATTGCTCACAAGCACCATACTCAGCTATCCAGATTGCCTCTAAGAGAATGAGTGTCCCTTTCAAGTGTTTGCTGGTCTTCCTTACATAGTTTCATATCCCAATAAGAACTTTTATATTTTTTTATTAAATGATTTTATAATTAATTATGTAATTTTTATATTTTTATTAAATTAAGATCTTTAATGCGAACATTCGACAACAAACAAATTCTGCTGATTCTTTGTTACAATCCGATATTTTTATCTTGTAAGGCTTCTCTACAACACTATAACTATTCCAAAAGTAATCTTTACTCATCATCCATGAACCACACATAAAATTTTCAATTAAAATGAAATCAATTCTAAAAAAGAATCATTTTATAGAATAAAACTATCAAAAATTGCATTCATTTCTTAAAATTTAAAATAATTTTCTTTACTAATCCAAAATCATAAAAGCAACTTAGATGGCTTTACTTTCCTAAAATTTTCCTTTCTCTTGGAATTCTTTATTAATCTTTTACTACTTGCACCTTTCTACAAAGGCTTTCACCATATCTCTGTCTAAACTTACAAACCAAGAAGATCACATATAACTTCATCAAAACTAACTAAACTACAAGAAAAAAAAAAATCAAAAAGTAAGGTTCAGAGAGCTTGGGTTGCCTCTCAAGAGCATTTTGTTTATAGCCCTCAGCTTAACTCTTTAGTACAAATACCTAATAATAGGTATCAAATGCTAATATCTCACCTTGTCTTGATTTCTCTTCACTTGTCAAGACTTCAACAAGAATGGGCATTCATTCAAACAAGAAACACATGACTTGGCCCTTAATCAAAATTAATTTCAAGATACATGATTTATTAAGATTAATGTGGTAGTGGTAGGCTCCAATTGAATTTTTCACAAATATCATTTAAGGCCCCCAAATATTTTAAACAATTAATGAAATCCACTTGACTGTGAGTCAAAACATTACTCATAGCATTACTTTATAAAAATTACAAGTAATATCAAATCTCAAAATTCAAAACTGAAACAATCTTTGAATCTATATTCAATATATCTCCTAATTATATAAGATAAAATAATTATATAATCTAAAAATATCTAAATATTAGGAATTACTTGTTTTAATTTATTTTGAAATCTGAACTTGTGCCAAAATTAAAGTAATTTATTTTTATTATAGTAAACAAGCATACAATAATATGCAAAATAGTAGCACTGCTTATTTTATTTTATTTTTCAAAACTGCACCTATCTAAATAAATTTATTTTATTTATTATTATAAACAAACAAAAACTAACTTGACCACTCATTTTTAAAAGAGGGGATTTGAATTTTAAATAGTTAGATATAGTTTAAGAAAGGTACAAGATGTATAATTGGTCACAACTTCTTTCTTTTATATATTTATATATATATATATATATATATATTATAAATCAGTTCGAACCTTTCTCCAAATATGAATATGAACTTGAATCTGAAACACAAAATTGCAGGGAAGGTACCCCGAAATACAGAATTGCAAAAACGCATACCAACACTCACCCTACATTTATTATATATATATATATATATATATATAATGATAAGATGTTTTGAGAAAAATATTGATTTCATTAAATAAAACATATTTCAAAATTATGCATCATCATTTCATTCTTTAAACATATTTCTGTCTCTATCTCCCCTTACTAAATGAAGAGTTTTTCATGAAGTTTATAGGAAAATTAAAATCCAAAAGTATATTTAATTGATTTTATTGGTATTTGCAATTTTATAAAAAAAACGTTTTATAAGATAGGACGAATGCAGAGTACCATATAAATTAATATTGATGATGATTGTACCTTTTACAAATGATTAATTGTGTGACTCTTCTTAAAATTTTGGGTAATAACTGTAGTGAATTTCTTACGTTGAAAGAAGTTTGAGAAAAAACCATATTATTTATGATTTATGAACAATTTTTCATTATATATATATATATATATAGCATAGTGTAGTGTATAGAAAAGCCCAGATAATTTATTAACAGAAAGGACAATAATAATAAATGGATTGTCTCCTTTTCCAAAATAATTTTCTTTTCCTCTAATGCAATGAAAAGTTAAAGAGACATCAATGACCTTATTCATGAACTTTTAGGGGAAAAGGGGATTTTTTTTTTTTGGCCCAGAAAAGGGGAATATTGAATATTTGTCATATATATCGCGTGAAATAAATTTAAGGTTATCTAATTTTTTTCACTAAAGACAAAATGTGCAATAACTTTATATGAAGTTTGAAAACAGATGTGATTCACATTATTCGCGTAGTTGCTTGTTAATACAGTTTGTGATAAATACTGATCAACATCAATATAAAATATGTTAGATAAGATACAATTTATAGTAGGCCTAACAATTTCATTTTAACTTGTTTTTCTTTTTTATTATAAAAATAAAAACTTAGTTATTAAATTCGTTGATGTTAAGATAGAGTACATATAAAAATCATATTCGGTTCACATTCTTATTGATACACTTTTCTTAAAAGGACACCAAAAGTTGATAAGTAAGCACCCTACTTTATATTCTTGATCAAGCCAACAACACTTACATAATTCAAATCACAAAGGCGACTTCACATTATGCATGAACACAAATGCAACGACAAATAAAAATGACAAGCAAAGTAATTATCCAAGAAGGTTAATCTTTCATGAGTTGTCCTAGTGTGATGTTGTCAAACTGGTTTGCTAAATAAGGTTGAGGCCTTAGAAGTACCGTAGATACTTGTTCCATGGTTGAACGCCATTGTGGATTTTCATTCAAGCAAGCAAGTGCAATTTTTGCATGAAGCATTAGTCCCTCTACAATTGGGCTTGAGGGTGGAGGAAGTCGTTGATCCAACACATCCTTAAATAGTGAATTGTAAGATGTTCGAATCTCTATCAAAGAACAAATCAACTCTCTTGGATGTCTTCCCATTAGAATTTCTAACGTGAGAACGCCAAAACTGTAAACATCGCATTTCTCATTTGCTAGCATTATATAGGCAATCTTTGCATCAATCATGATATATTATGAGAATAGTTATATATATTACATTTTGTACATTAAAAATAATGGTTTTTAATTACAAAGAAAGGAGACCTCACCTGGAGTGGCATAGCCATAGGTGCCAGTGAATGAGGTCATGTTGTTCAAGTCAAGCTTTAGAAACTTAACTACTCCAAAATCAGTTATATGAGCTTCTTGATATTTTGAATCTAACATAATATTTTTGCTTGATATGTCGCGATAAACCATAGGACATGAGAGACCATGGTGCATGTGGAACAATGCATCAACCACACCTCTAATAACAATTACCCTCTTATCCCAATCAAGTGTAGATGCTTGCATCTCATTTTTTAAAATATGATCCAAGCTACCACCATCAAGGAACTCATAAACAAGAAATGATACATGTGTATTTGAAAAGAACCCAAATAACTTCACTACATTATGATGTTTGATCTCTGTCAATGCTTGAATTTCACTTGAAAATGCTTTAAGATTAGAGAAATCTGTATTACAATTTGGATGAAGTTTCTTCACAGCAAAAAATTGACCATCAAGTATTTCAGCTTTATAAACACTTCCTTGTGCTCCAACCCCAATAAGATATTTGTCATCAAAATCCTCAGTAGCCTCAACAACCTTTTCATGCAAAATTTCCCCATCAAAACACCAAGCAGAGAAAAGATTGAGAGTTAGAGATTTTCCATTGTGGCCTTTTGCACTCTTTGATTTTTGAATCAGAATATAGGAAATTCCACCCACTACTAGAATTATAGTCACAAAACAAACAAACAACGATACTAATAGCTTCGATGTTTTGTTTATATGACTTTGTGGGTCATTGTTATGTTTATTGCAAAGATCTAAGCCAGTGACATTACCACATAAACCTGTGTTATTCCTCACTGCCTCAAATGTAATATTTCAAAAGGCAAGAATGTTCGGAAGAGGTCCCTCTAAATGGTTGTAGGACACGTTAACAGACATCAAGCTTGACATGTCATCAAAATTGGATGGAAAGGTGCCAGAGAGATTATTATGCGAAATGTTCAAAATTTCTAGCATCTTTAATGTTCCAAGTGTTTTCGGTATTGCTCCGCACAATATATTCTCACTAAGGTCAAGATATTCCAGAGCTTGTAACTGACCAAACTCAATAGGAATGCTTGCTTCAAATTTATTTTTACTCAAGTTCAAGGGGAATAACTTGGAAAGTCTTACGAGCTCTTTGGGGATTGAGCTGCTAAAGTTGTTTCTTGCCAACTCTAGTTTTTCAAGTTGATCCAATGATCCTATTTCTATTGGAATCTTACCAAAGAGTTGATTGTTTCTCAAAGAAAGTCTTGTCAATGAGACCATTTTTTTCAATTCTTTTGGAATTTCACCTGTCAAGTGATTTGAAGAGAGTTTGAGTTCCCCAAGATTAGTTGCTTCTCCTAATTCTGGAGGTATGCAACCAGAAAGATTGTTGTTGGAAATCTTAAGTGTTGTAAGATTATGAAACTCCCCCCACAATGATGAAATGTGGCCATACAATTTATTTCTACTCAAATCTATGTATTTCAAATTTGGGTATACACCAAAATCACTTGTTATATTTCCAACCAATTGATTATCTTCAAGTCTCACTCTACTAAGGCTTCTGCAGTTTTTCAAGGTTCTTGGAATTGGACCAGTGAATTTATTCTCAAAGGCAACAAAATGTTGAAGTGATCCACCAAGACAAATATCTTAAGGCAGATAGCCAGTCAAATCATTCTTAGGAATTTCCATTCTAATCAAGTAAGTAAGATTATTCATCTCTATTGGAAATCTCCCGTTGAGCTTGTTGACTCCTAAAAATAGGTGCTTGAGCATTTTTAGATTTTCGATGGTAGAGGGAATAGGTCCAGAAAGAGAGTTAAAGTCAAGGTAAAGTTCTTCTAAATTGACCAAGTTTCCCATTGAGCTTGGGATTGATCCCAAAAGTTTGTTGGCGCTCAAGCCTAACCTAGTTAGATTTGTGAAGTTTCCAATGAAGGGTGGTATTGGCCCATACAAGTTGTTTTCTGACAATTGCAATTCAATGAGAGAATTGAGATTCCTGAATTCGTAGGTAATAGGTCCAGAAAGAGAGTTTTTACCGAGGTAGAGTAATTCTAAATTGACTAAGTTTCCCATTAAGGATGGGATTGATCCCGAAAGTTTATTGTATCCCGAAAGTTTGTTGGCGCTCAAGCCTAACCCAGTGAGTTTTGTCAAGTTTCCAATGAAGGGTGGTATTGTCCCACACAAGTTGCTTGCTGATAAACCCAAACCAATGAGAGAATAGAGATTCTCAAATTCACGGGGAATAGGTCCAGTAAAAGAGTTATTTCCAAGGTAGAGGTTTTGTAAATTGACCAAGTCTCCGAAAAAGGGTGGGATTGATCCTGAAAATCTGTTGGAACCCAAGTTTAACCAAGTGAGATTTGTGAAGTTTCCAATGAAGGCTGGTATTGGGCCATACAAGTTGTTGTTTGAAAAATCCAAACCTGTGAGAGAATAGAGATTCTCGAATTCAAAAGGAATGGGACTAGACAAATGATTTGAGTGAAGGGATAAATTTTTCAAATCCCTCAAGCTCCCAATTTCTTTGGGAATTTGCCCGATGAGAATATTTGCACCCAAAAAAAGCTGATTCAGAGTAGTCAACTGCCCTATTTCTGAAGGGATGAAACCACTCAAGAAATTATGAGTCATACTCAATGTACAAATACTGGACAAGTTACCAATTTGGGTGGGAATAGTTCCAGAAAACTCATTGTCACTGATGTCAAAAACCTAGAGTTTAGGGAAAGATGAGAAGTTGAGACTGTGAAGTGTACCTTATATTCCCATACTTGTGAGATTTATGGTGAAGACTGACATGGATTCATCACAAGCAATTCCTGTCCAATGACTGCAAGGATCAGTGCCATTCCAAGAAGACAAGATGGCTTTGCTTTGCTTTGCAAGGCTGGCTTTCCACTTTAACAGAGAATTTGCTTCCTCGGTAGCAGCAAGGGATGAAGAGAACATCGCAGAGACACTGATTAAGACTACAAGTGGAAGAGTAAAATCAGCCTTTTGGGAGATAAACGCCATGATTTCAAGTGAGAGTATGAACGAGTGAGCATAAATGGGGGGCATCGGAGGTGTCTTTATGATAAAATGTACGGGCCAAAACAAGCTGGGCATAACTCAACATAACAAGGTAAATGCAAAAAGTGACTTAGAAAAACAAAATAAAAGCTGTGAACAAAAATAATATTACGTGTTTCGTTCAACTTTGGAGATAATAATTTGAATTGGTTTGGGTAAAGTTAAACTTATTTTTTTGAAAAAAAAGTAGTATTGTTAATTATTTATATTTAACTTTATACTCTCCTTTTAAATAGAAATTGAAATTCAAATAACAACTTTGAAGAAATTAATCAACTAAAAATTTGAAAACATATATTATGCTTTTAAAAGAAAACAGTATTGATTTAAATTTGACGAAATAACTATGTTCAAATTTCAATATATTTGATTTTTAAATCTAAAAATATAGCTTAAACTTGTATATTATTGATTCCATGCACGTTAGAGGAAGCTGGCCAAAAAAAAAAAATGAAACCAATAAAACTTGTGTTTGGTGGGTTTAACCAGTCTAAACTTTGTTTTTTTCAATCGTCCGAGAAAAATACTGCAGCCAAGGTTGCTCTGGATGAATGGCCACTGCACACTCACAAATAGTTCTCATTAATACGACAAAAACCACACTTCTCAATAATTCCACACACACGGTCTGACTTTTTCAAATATACAATATTTACATACTATATGTTTTAATAATAATAATAATTTAAGGTACGCTGTCTAATAATAATAATAATAATAATTTAAGTTATTATTTAGTTAGAACTAATTCAACTATTGGATGGGAGCGTTTTCTCCAGTTTAATAAGTTCATTTTTGTGGGAAAAAATTTTATACTAAACCTTATATATTAAAATGCTTATTTTCAATTAAATTAAGATATGCAAATATTATATATATATATATATATAATCTATTCTATAATTAATCATTAGTATTATTATAAATATTATTAACATGTTAAAATTTACTTGTCTTAATTTGATGATTAGATAAAAATATATTAAATAGATATGATTAAATAACTAAGAGTTTTTCAATACATATATCCGATCCAGTAGAAACATTGGGAAAGAGTGAAAGTAATACTCTCCTCTTTTAAAAATATAAGTTATTTTTTAAAGATTAGATGTTAAAAAATATAAAATATTTTTAATCTTTTAATGTATAATCATTTTTTTAAAAGTCTCTCTATTGAATAAATTATTTTATATTTATTTTTAAATAAAACAAGCTATTAAATAGAGTTAAATATAAAAGTATAAGGCTGGTTTAAAGACAAGTGATTATTTTATTGAGGTAAGATTCGACTAAAAATACTTTACATTTTTAACGGAAAAGTATTTTGTAAATATCTTTACCCCTTACTACACGGGTATCATCTTGATCATAAATATTTTACGTAATGTTACACGAATCTTAAAATTTTGTTCTTATTTTTTCTCTTAATTTCTCAACTTTAGCATTTGCTAACTCGTGAGTAGCAACGGGAGAGAACATCTCAAATATGTTTAATTGGATTGGAGGGAGGGGGAGAGGAGAAAAAATTTAAAAAAATAAAATAAAATTTGGGTTTTACATTTAAAATTTAAACAAAATCTTTTTTTTTTCTTTCACCTTCTCAACATTAGTATTTGGTTTAATTGATTTGGATTTAAATTTTAAATTTTAAAATTTTAAAAATGCACGTAATCCTTTGTTTGGATAGTGTAAACAATTTTAAGGTATGAGAGAGACAAATTGAAATTCAAAACAAAAATCAACCATTATAAATTATGAGTTTATTTTTATTTTCTAATCAATAAGAGACGAGGATAAAATATGAAAAGAATGTTGTAAGTTATGTTCATTTTCAAAAATGAACGATAGAGATTTTTTGAGATAAATTCAAGGGCCTAAATGAGCCTTATCACGGTTGTGTGCTCATCATATGAGCACCGAATGCCAATGCAAGGACGAGAGTGTTGTCACTTTCTAGGAACATATGACAATATCACTATTCAAATTTAATAGTTTTTCACAAATTTCATAGTAAAAAAGGCTTTTTTTGCCATTGTTTTGGCAACTAGTAATATCATTTCTAACTTTAAGAGAGCATAAATTTTTTTAAAACCTAAATTTCTTTAAAGTTAAATTAAAGGGTGCAAAATATTTAGGCTAAGAGGCACTACAAAAAAATTGATTTTCATGTTGAAAAGTCGTTGAAAACAAAAAGTCATTACAATGTCATCACGAGAGCTCTTGTCACTAATTCTATCTACAGTGACAATAAAAGTCATCGCTAAAAATATTGTTGCAGCATGAAGGAAAATTTTTTGCCATTGAAAGTTGAGAATTCATAGTAAAAAATGTCACTGCAAAAACTATACATTAGTGGCAACTATATAGTCACTCCCAAATGTTGAGCATCAGCAACAACATTTATAACCATAAAAACTGCCAATCAACAATGACTTTTTTGTCACCAATTAAAAGTGATGCTAGTTCACCTAACCACATGGCGCGATGTCACCCTCCCACTCCCACATGGTGCCATGTCACTTGCCACATGTCATTCTCCATGTGGCATCATGTCCATGTGTCACCTATGTGGCTATATGTCACTGCCACGTGTTACGGTATCATCAATTTATATTTTTATTTCATAGATTACCTCCTCCATAGTTCAAACTCATAACCTCCTTTTTCTGCATCTTATCATTTTGTCACTGAGCTGGAATGAACATACACTCTATGATTGCATAATTAAATATATATTATTAAACTAAACAAATACACATATATTATTAAATATTATTACTGTCATTAAATCAATTTAATTCTTTTAATTTATTAAAATTACAAAGTATGCTATTTATTTTGTCTAAAGTAGACTATAAATATAATTGATACAATATTATTTATATTTTTTTCACTTCTCTAGGTTATTGTATTATTTATTTTAATATTCAAATTTATAATTATAATATAAAAATATCTAAGAATAAATAATAAACATAAATATGATTATACATTAAATCATAATTATTGATTTTTCTTGCTATTTTTAATTAAAATTTTATTTTTACTTTTAAGAATTAGAACTTTTAATAATGTAACTGTTTTTGTTTTTACATTACATTTTACTTTTATGATTATTTTTCAATTTTAAATTATAATTTTATAAGAGAATTATACACTATATTATCTTCTTTTTTTTTAATTTATGAAGCAAGATAGCATTAAAAAAATCATATAGTATCACATACATAGATATATTTCATATATTGTAAAAATTTAAAGTATAATTTTAGAATATCTCTTTTCTTTGCTTTTCATCTTCCTTTTCCCTTTCATGAGGCACTAATAGTGCATTAATAATCTTCCTTTTAATATATTATAAAAATTAAAAGTACAATTTCAGTACAATTTTAGAATTTGAATTGAAAAATTGGATTAGATGAAACATCATTTTATGAATGAATAAATTTAACTATCAAATGTTTAATTATTATAAACTAGTAGTTTTATTATTTAAAATATAAATTTAATCATAAAACATTTAAAAATAGAGACTTATTACCACATTATATGCATTCCAAACTAAAATATCAAACAATAAATTTTCGAATGAATTTATTACTTCACATAAGGGTATACATTAGTCAATTTAGTTAAATTCAGTGTTAATTCAACAATACAAATGAACCAAACTAGCCTAAATAGTTGGACCGAATCAAATTAAACATTACTTGATAACAAAAATTGACCAAAAATAATATGGTTTGGCTTAGTTCTTTAATCTAGCTCATTAACATTAACTAATACCTTAACTTTATCTTAAAATAATTTCATTATTTTAAATTATCAATTTAACTATAAAATATATTAAATGAAAACTCATTATGTTATTTTATATATTCATCATAAAATTACAATAATACAACAAAATTAACATTTTAAATTGTTAAATATTAGATTAAACAAAAAATAAAAAATAATAATAATAATATCTAATTACTATTAATAATTACAAAAGTCAAACTTTCATCAGCGATATTCAAAGTCATTGTTGAAATTCACACTTTCTATGGCGATTCTAAAAAGTTATCACTCATTGTAAACTTTTAGCAGTGATGACGTGCACTTGCTACTGCTAAAAGTTTAATAATCAAAGATGACTTCATATTGTCACTACAAAAAGTCTCACTTTTAGCAACGACTTTATATGTCCTCATAGAAGGTTAAGCTTTTAATAGCGATCTTTATTGTCACCGTAAATTATTTATTTTCAACGGTAACTTTTAAAATCACCATTGAAGGTTATTGTTTTTGCAGTGAGGTATTTTCTTGTAATTTTTCTTAAATTCAAGGAGTGCATCACCCTCGGGGCGCGAATTCTATGTAGTGCTGCCAATGTATCTTAAAAAGATCTGGATCATTAAAAAAAAGTTATGAGAGAACATACTTTCTAAATATTGCAAAATTTTCTAAGTAAATGTTGAATAGAATCGAAGAGAAAATTTTAATAAATGAGTATGAATGCAGAGGACGTTACGTTGGAGATCTCTTTTATTTTATTTTTAAAAGTAGATCCTGTCAATATTTGGCGTCTATCGAGTGCTTGAGGTGGGGCGAAAAAATCTCGTCGGTTGCATTAATAGTCAATGAATATCATCATTGTATATATAAACATAAGATTAAAGGCTACGAGAAATATTATGTGTCTATTTTTAGGCTTGCTGTGATTTTATGCTTTAGGATGTCATTCTTATGATTTTGTGTTCTAGAGTTAGATTTGGAATTAGATTCGGGCTAATTATTATTTTTTAATATATAAAATATGTTATTTAGATTTGGATTTAGGTGTGGGATGATTTACTAATTTTTAGACATATATAAAATTATTTTTTATCTATTTAAAATTCAAATCTCATCATATTTGAATTCAAATTAATATCTATCTATTTAAAGTTTTCATCCAC